TATTAGTGCTGTCAGATAGAAGGTGGATCTGTTGTGCTGTAGTTACCTGACAGGGCCAGATCTCTGCGAAGGAGCTGGAGCTCCTGTTTGAGACGGATGATCTCCTCCCTCTGAGTGCTGCTCTGTGTCACCTGCTGCTGCAGCTCCTCTACGACCACAGACAATCAGACACGTACAGCTGAGATGATTAGTCGCTTAACGAATTAGTCAATCGACAGAAAATGTATAGGTAACGATTTCGATAACTGATTGACTGTTTTAATAGTTTTTTAGACAAACATTCTCTAGTTTCAGCTTCTCGAATGTGCACATTTGCTGCTTTTCTTTGTCATGTAAAACATTAAACTGAACTGTTTGAAGACATTACCCTGGACTTTCTGTCATTAATCAAGAAAATAACGAGCAAATGTATCAATAATTAAACTAATTGTGAGCTGCAGCTATAAAGGCTGGTAAATCTACTGAAGATAATTATGCTTCTTGACTTTAAAGCTGCAGTAGGTAACTTATTTGCTAAAACGTTCAGTATATCCTGACAGTAGTATATGAGTCTGTGAAAATATCAGGTTCCTCTGGCTCCTCCTGGTGCTCTTGATGGGATTTACAAGAATCCACCACACCTGAATAAAAACAACCAATCAGAGCGGAGAAAGATTATTGATTGTTGAGTCTCATTCCCAGGAGACTCAACAATCAACTATCTTCAAGCCTCCCACTTAAAGAGTGAGTATCTGACAACCTGTTTGTTTTACTCATGTACCTTTAAGGTGTGTGATCTCATGCTTGGCGTCTCTGTAGCGACGTTTACTTTCCTCTGCGTCTCTCAGGAGTTTGTTTTCCCGTGCGTGACTCTCCGTTAGCGAGGTCTCCAGATCCCGTAGGCGCCCTGTGAGGTCAACTATGTGACCAGAGGCGTCTGTCACGTCTTTGTCCTGATGGGAAGAGAAATTATCAACTAGCTGAACATCATAACATCAGACACAGATATATTAATGCTAATCCTAATCAGAAAAACTAGAACTGGAAACTGGAAGTTACAAAGAAATAATTCTACTAGTGTACCTTGAGTTTGAGCATGGAGCTCAGTTCTTCCTCCCTGACCTGCAGAGAGCCGACTTGAGTGGACAGAGCCATGACCGTGGAGTTAAGACTCTGGTTCTTCTCCTAAAAGACACCACAGACACGGATTAAAGTCGTAAATTTGCTGGAGAAAAAACTTGGATATTCTCTGAGATTAAACTCACAAATTTACGGAAAAAAAAAACCTTCTAGAAATATGTTTGTCACTGTTAACAGAGACTCCGCTCTGCAGCTCATACACCTCACTGATAAACCTTAGAATTATACAGTTACAGCAGCTTCACAATCAAATAATTTTTTTTTTAACTAGTGTAAAATGCTGTAATAACTACGAATAAATATAAATCCTGGCCATTCAAATGAATCTAAAAACCATGAATGTGTCGTAGCATTTAGTATGACATCATTATATAGACTGACTTTCTCTCAACACAACCAACTGTGACTTCCATCATCCATAAAACACTATTTATTTACGTATTTTTTTCTAAATTTGTGACTTTAATCTCAGAAATGTACCCCCCTTCCCCAGCTCTGTACTTTTTTTTAAAAAATACAATGGCCCCTAGTACACCGTACAAGATGGTTTTCTATTGAGCAAGAAAATTATGAGAATAATGAGTAACTTATAGTAAACAATTATACATGTTTAATTATTCTCCTACATAAAAGATAGCTATTACAAGCCTTTGTTTGTAGCAAACTGACAATTCTTAGTGTTAAAAAATCCAATTAAAAGACCAAAACCAACAAGGAACTGATCCTACTAACTGTTTTAGGGCTTAACTAGCTTTCAAAGATGTAGGCTGAGCACCACAAACAAGGTGGGAAAGTCAGAAAGTACTGAAAGACGGACTCACGTTTGGTGGAAGCTTTACCCTTTAACTAAAATAATGTGATAAATTTGATAAAGGGGAGTCTGGTTAGTCAAAAAACGGCAGCTCTATCCATGTTGAGCAGTCCTGGTGCTCAGATGTTCTACAGAGAATATAAATGTGTATTAATAGTTATAATTGCACCTCAAAGTCTTCACATTTTTCGCTGATGCTCTGCTGTTTCTGTTCCAGCTCACAGACTTGCTGTCGGGCTACGCTGAGCTCCTTCTGGACCTCCTCCTCCCTGGTTTCCACCACCCACACACGTTTAGTCAGGACTCTGATCACCTCGTTACGCTTCTGCAACTCATCTGCGAAACCAAACAACGATTAAATTATTTATCATTCGGCATAATTTGCAGTTAGATTTGTATATCCTTGTGGTTTCTGCGTGCTCACCATCCAAACGGGCACACCTCTGCTCCAAGGCGAGCACCCTCTGGCGGCCTTGTTCCCAGGCGTGAAGCTGCTTATGATGGGAGGAGGCCATGGTGTTCAGCTCCCTGTCCCGGTCCTTCAGCTCAGCCATCAGCAGCTGGAGCTCCCTCCTCTGCCTCTGGATGGTGGAGCCACTCAGGTCACTCACAGGAAACTTACAGAGAGAGACACACACACCATAATATAGCCTATTTATGGAAAGCAATAGAGTTGAAGCATAATTAGTCAATTACTTGATGAGGTAAAAAAACAATTTTTAAAGCAAAAATGGAAAAATTCACTGGTTCCAGCTTCTAAAATGGGAATATTTGCTGGTTTCCTTTGTGATAAACAACTAAATAACTCAGTTTTGGACTGGAAGTGAATCAATTCATCAAAATAGCCGATTAATCAGTTAGTTGACTCACTGTTTCAAAATCTACAAGCATATGTGGCTGCACAGATCGGAAAAATGACCCTCATATTTCCTAAAGTTAGTTTATGAATGCATTTCTCTGTTTACTAAATAACTCAATAGGCGGTAAACAACACACAATCTAAGTTATAATCAATAGTCAGTATGTGATCTCACCTCGGGGTCCTGCGGGCCGGGGGGGCAGAGGCTGTCTGCTGGGAGGGGAGGTGAACTTTTGGCCCACTGTTTCGCTCTGCTGTCCATCTTGAAGCTGGTTAGGACAGAGGGTTGGCTCGCATCCAGTGACGGACAACCATTTTTCTGAAAAGTGGCATATATCAGATAATATGAATGAGCTTGCTTTTGGCATTTCTAAGTGTATTTAACTGAAACGACACCAACCTTTTTAACTGGAGTGCTGTGCCAGAGCTCAGCTGAAGTATCTGAAACAAAGTCAAAGTGGATGTTTAATGGTTCAAACCTTCCCTGACACGTTTTAAACACTTTAATGAGATGATGTGTGTGTTTTACCATTTGACCAGGGGAAACAGGCTGAGGCTCTTCCATTGGAGGGGGGCAGTATTCTCCCTTCGTCCATCACATCATAACACTAACCACTAATATTACACCCTAACTCCAGTTCCTTAGTGCTTCTGCAGAAAACTGCACCCTGCTTTATGTTGCCTTCATTGTTATTGCACACAGCTTCTTGTGGGCTTGTTTTGGAGGATCAGCTAGTCAACTTACCATCTCTGAATGTAACTCCAAAGTTAAATAACAGTCAGTAAAATAACAAAACGAAAAAAACTATTTAACAACACGCTCAAAACCCAACTTAAATCTCGATAAGTAAGTATATAAAACGCCTGTAGAAAACTTAAATCTGCCAGCTTACGTTAGCTTCTGGGAGAGTTTAACTTTTTTTGAATGTAAATCGGGGATAAGACAATGACGTCACGTCCCCGGACATCCCGCAGTTATTCTCTAAATATGTATTACTGAATTCCCAAAGTAAACTTATTTGATTCAGAATATGATAAGTGTTAATATAACTTATTGACTCAACACATGAACGTCGTTTTGGACAACTCAAAGGTAGCCTAATTAATATCTTACTGGCGCGTTGCTTGGCCGCACCTTGAAATACTCATCCTAGGAAGAAGGATACACGATTCCGGTCCCGGTGAGATTTTCAACATAAAAGTCGCATTTTAACAAAACGCGCAGTCATGACAAAAATAATAATGTTTTTTTTATTGTGATACATTTTGGAAATTAAAACTATAAATATAAAATATAACTTAAATCACTCAAGCTATGATTTAACACACTCGACTGGAATCTGATTTCTTTTATATGAATCACATTGTCACTTCTGACTTTGTATAATAATAAAAAAAAACATTTAAAAAGAAAGAAAATAATATTTAAATGTGGTTTTCATTTTAAATACTTCCACCCATTTGTCACCATACCAAACCTTATATTTTATTATATTTTTATTGTATATTTTCTACACTCTTTGCAATATATTCGCATTTATGGCACATTTATTTGCCAGTTACAGTTATGTCCAACGACATAATTTCCATCTTATTTGGTCTATAAATGCCATAAAATTATCCTAATTCAGGTTATATCATCAAATTGAGATATGCGGTTGCTGATTATTTCCCCATGGGTTGATTAATCACTCAACCATTCTTACCACTCTGCATATCAGCTGCTACCATCTGTCCCCCAATTTTTAATATCTTTTTTAAAAATACATTTTACTGCTGTGTATTGCCATTTAGTCACTTTCTCCTGCTTTTGTGTGTTGCTATGTCATGTATTTTATTTATTTATTTTTGCACAGA